CTCTGGGGGCTTCTCAGCAGTGCGGCCTGTCTCTCTGGGGCTGGGGTCCCCACTCTGATGTGGTTCCCCTATGGGGCCTCCTCCATCCCCTTATAGCCTCACCCGAACCTCCGGTATAACAACACAACAAAACACAAGCCTCTGTGCTATAACTTAAATTCAGGCCTCACAGCTAAAACATCCTCTGAGCCACACCACAAGCGCTCCCTCTCTCACCCGTATCACCAGCTGCACCCACATACAGCACTCAGGGCAGAGCTCCTTCTCCGTTGGTCACAGGCAGGGTCCCCCTGCCTGGCCTCAGCCTGGGAGTTATATAGGAGCCAGGCCCTGCCCCTTCTGGTCAGCTGACACCCACCGGTTGCCCTAGCAACCAGCAGCTGGGCACCTTACTTACTATCCCACAAGTAGCAGGCACCTCAGTGCCCTGCTACACTCGCCAGTGCTTTGAGACTAACTAGTAGTAGTAGCAGCAGTAAAAAACAGAAAACCAGTTGGAGATCTTATGCAAATTCTATGCAATTTTGGAAAAGAAAATTTAATCCAGTTAAGTGCACACTTTCTTCGGCTGCTAAGTTGAATACCTGTACTGCAACATGTTTCCTAGAACCACATAAATAGCTTAATCCTGCAAGGTAGTGAGACTAATTTCTTTATACTTTGAACATATACCTTGCGTAGACTTTGGACTCACTTCCAGTAAGTCATAAGTACTTTGAATGAAAAACAAATATTTACTGTTTAGCCTAGGTCCTTTAAACCTTACTGGAAATGCAAAGGCATCTCTTTGATTCCTTTATCAGGGTGTAATCAGAATACCTTTCTAAATATCCTAAATTAGCACTCTGGGTGTTCATGTGCTGACTATTGTGAACTTCAGATATGATTACTAAGAGAACTACTCATTGTTCTATCATTTAGAGAGATCCACAAAAAAGATTTAGATGCCTAAAATGGGACTTAGACAGGAGTTAAGATGTCTCAGTCCAAAATTTGGATCCTCAGAGTCCTATCAAACATTTGACAAAATTGTAGTATTGTTGTAGCTGTGTTGTTCCTTGGAATAGACAAGGATGTTCTAGTACCGTTGTACTGTACAAAGCATTGGTAAGACCCCATTTAAAATATTATGCACAGCTTTGGTTACCAGCATTCAAAAAAGATTAACTTAAACTGGAACAAGTTCAAGGAAAAGCCACTAATATGGTTAAGAGAGTGGAGAATGTTTCTTATGGAAGATTAAAGGAGCTTTGCATGTTATTGCAGCAATGAGGGAAGATACGACTTCTTTTTACAAGTACAAAAATGGAGTGAATCCTAGGGAAAGTAAAAAGGTTTTTAGGTCAAAATGCAATACCAGATAAAGGTCAAATGTTTACAAAGTGTTACAGATTAAGTTTAGATTGGAAATTAGAAGATTTCTAACTACTGGTGTATGTGATGTTGGAATCATGTGTTTTGAGTCCCCAGATTAAGTGATAAAGGTAGCTCTTGTAGTGTGGAAGGGGTTTGATAATCTCATGTCTCAGAGATTTTTCTAGTTGCCGCTTGGGGCCAGGAAGGAATGTTTTAACTCAGTGAATACTACTGGCTGCCATGCGGGTTCCTGGGGGAGGGGGACTTGACTCAGGTGTGCTGATGCTCCTGTCAGAATTAGAAAATCCTGAGGCTCCTGCTAGAAGGTCTTCCTCTTCTGCTCAAAATCATACCAGTCACCAAATCCAGGATCAGGCAAGATTGACACAGACTGTGGGTGGTGGGGAAGGGTTGCCTGCCTCTAGTGCAGGACATGGTCCATTTCCTAGGATCTTCTCAACTATTTTTTGTTTCAGTGGCAGAGCATTGCCAGTACCCTATGGGATTTTATAGGGCAGTTGTGTTCCAAGTGTTGTTCCTTGTAGTTGTAGGTGAGAGTTCAAAGGAATGATTTTGGGGGCTCCTTCAGTTCAGGAATGCCTGTTAATGCAGGGGCTGGACTGGATGGCCCAGAAGGCCTTTTCCAGTCCTACATTTCTTTGTTCCTATGTGAGAAACAAGGTATTTCTTGGCAATATCTTTTATTGTACCAAATCTTTACTGGGTAAAATGCCCTTTTTCAGGCCTGGAAGAGAAACTGATGCATCCAATACACAGGGGTCTACGTAAATCATGAGGGCACTTGCCAGTTTTTGCAGATTGATCACAGTGGAAAGATTTAGCAGATTCCATGGTCATTTCATGGTGGCCCCCCTTGGTGCTGATTGGTGGAGAGGCCCCAGGTGAGGGGGCAGGAAGGATGAGGGGGAAGTGACCATCTTGATGTCTGGCTGCACTTCATGTGGCCCCATTCCTTGGCACTGATTGGTGGAAAAGCCCCAGGATAGGGATGGGATGAGGGGAAAGCTGCCATCTTGATTGCTGGCTGTACTTTGTGTGGCCCAACCCCTCAGCACTTATTGGCGGAGAGGCCCCAGCAGGCTGGAGCAGTCATCTTGTCTGCTGCCCTTTATGCCACCCCACCAGCCACCGCTTTTTGCTCCTGGCAACAAGGACCTCTGACTCTGGCTGGGGAGCCAGCATTTTATTTTTATTAAGTTTGTTGCTGTTGTTGATTTCACAAATTTTGCTGCTAATTCCAGATTTTACAGTTTCCGCAAAATCCTTGAAACTGTGATTTAAGTAAGTCCCTACCAGTACATTCTAAATACCAGGTGCAATGAGTATTTTTGTTTAACACATTATGTCAGTGGTTGGCAACCTTTTCAGGTTGTGGGCCAGAATGACCCAGCTCAAGTCAAAGGCAGGTGGGTGAATGGGTGCTAGGACTTGTCCCCTGCTGCCACTGTTGATTCTTTCTGTAGCAGCATGGGGAGAGCTTCTGCAGCCACCACTTCTCACCATAGTAGCATGGGGAGACTAACCACCACCAAAGCCCCATGTCACAGGTTGTCAAGGCGCAGGTTGCCAACCTCTACAATATGTAATAAAAGTGATCATTTCAAAAGGTAAGAAGGTAGTAAACCTGTGGAGCCAAGAGAAGTTATGAGAAACAGTTACTAGTTACTACAAGAGGCACAAACAGAAGTGATGCTTTTTGCCAAATCTGGCCCCTGAAAGCACTCTACAGCTGTGACCAAACACAAGTGCATGGCTGCAGAGCACTTTAAAAGGGCCTGATCCCACAAAAATCTGAACCTTCATTGAATAAGAGTTTGGAGATGATGCTCCAGAACCAAGGATCTTCAGCAACTTGTGTCTCAGCTGCTACCCAGCTCTGGCGCTGTTTTCAGAAAGGAGGTGGGGAAAGGGAAGGAAAGGAATTTGGTCTGGGTTTTTTTCAGCCAGAGCTGGAGGGTGAGGCAGGTGTATTAGAGACCCCTGAGGTGGGGGGACTTCAACACACCAATCTCACCTTCTAGTGCTGGCTGGGGAACCCCCAGAATGAGCTCCCTCTGCTCCCTTTCCCCTCTCCTATTCTGAAAACAGCACTAGGGCAGGGAGGGGCATTGCTGGGGGAGAATAGCTGCAGGGTCCCAGGTGCTCTAAACAGCAGCTGAATTCCCCAACCCCTGGAGCCCAATGGCAAACTTCTGTCCAGTATGGGGGATCATTGTAACTCATAGTGCTTCCTACAAAGCGCCATGAGTTACAATGAGGAGCTGCTCTTCTGTCTCTGCCTTCTAAGATGGCTATTGTGACTTGTTTGGGAGGTATGAGTTTGAAACACTTTGATGTTTTCTAGTAATCAGTTACCTGGACAGATAACTACCACATGTAGAGGGCGAGAGTTAAAATATTTAGAGGTCTTTATGCTGCTAGTATAGCAACTCTAGTAGGTTGCCTCTCACACACTTTCATGGAGCTTTGATCTTATTTTCTGAAATCAAAGCTATCAAGGCTAAGAGCATGCTTTTTTCTTCTTACACAGACAGTGGTTACAGTATATTAGAGGACTTCCATTAAGACAAAGGTAAGACTTTTGGCTTTGTTTAGATCCATAGTTCTCAACCTTTTTAGACTCAGGGCACCCCTTCATAACTTCAAAATTCAGTGGCACCGCATTTTAAAAAAACTAATATAAATATATTATGAGCATTATAATAATATTACTAATTAGCATGTTATTAATTGACTAGATAGTTATAATTATCTTAAGTTTGCCTTACTGCCACTGCCTCTATGACCAGGTAGAACTGTGCTGTGCACCTGCTCCAGAGCCTGACTGGGAAATGGCTGCGGCAGGAGCACACACACTTGCCATAACCCTTCCTGGTCTGACCCTACATGGTGTCTCCCAGAAACAGAGGTGTGTGGGGCAGGTGAAACTAAAAATGTGTTAGATCTGAACTGAGAGGTACAGCTCTTTCCTGGCTGCAGAAGAGAGCTATTCCCGGTTTGGTTGCAACATACCTCCTGAAAATGGAGGGCCTCTCATAGCTATCTCTCCCAGAGCTCCAAAGCACTCCTTTTGAAGTGGACCATCTATGGGCACAATGTAAATCTATTGCCAGGTAGATAATGAACTGGAGTACTCAATTGCGAGCTGGCCAAAAGATCCTTCTTTCATTGTTGTGAGAGTCCTATATGCATCGCTTCCTAGTTGCTGACTGTAACATGACATTTAAAACCATCTGGAAATGCTGTTAGAGCAACTTTCAGGCTCAAAATATCCAAGGAAGGGTATTCTGTACCCAAAAGCTAATATAACATCTCTCCAAACTACATAGTTGTTCCAAAAAAGATTCTTCCAATCAATTCCTATTTCTTACATATTACCTGAACCATCACAGCTGCAACAACCCTACAGCAGTCTTGGAAACATTGAGGAAACTGTCACAGTGATTTGATGTACATGCATTAAGAAGTTTTGTTTTTGGAAACTTCACTCATAACTTTAATCAAATGAGGAAACACCTCTTCAAACAACAAACCAAAGTATACTGTTAACATAGTTTTCACTTCATCTTTTTAATGCTGACTGCATTTGGTTTTTTTTTCCTTTAAAAACAGTCTGGATTTCAGCTCACATCCCTCTCAAACAATTTCAGCTGCAGGTATGAATCTTTTCAAAGAGATCCTGCCTAGAGTAAGGAAAATCCTTTCCAGTGCTACACTTTCAGATGCTCATGCTTTGCTCAGCCTCATGCTGAAGGAAGATGTTATATCCAAGGAATATTACCAGACTTTACTCCATGAAAAAGACAGAGAAGACCTAGCTAGGAAGATCTCTCTCACCTTTGTGGAAAAATGGGATTTGTGTTTGAACACCTTGGTTCCTCTGTGTTATTTAAAAGTGTACAATAATAAGCACCAAAGTATCACAGATGGTGACTCATCTCTAAACAGGGTCCTAGCTGGTAAGTCTGCTTTTTATTTTCTATTTGTAAAAATATACTTTAAAGATTTTTCCCTTTTTAAATATTCACTTTGTTTTATAGTGTTTGATGTGGTACAATGACAGACATGCAGAGGTTTCTTTAAACCAACTGCATCACCGGGAGCTACCTAGACATCAGTTTCAGAACTGAGACACATTAAAACACTTCTTATTTGCACACCTTTGTAGGAGCAAAGACAAAATGTGAGGTAGGCAGAGAAGGACATTATGGTAAGGGTAACTCTTTTCATGATGCATAGGTCACCATTGGTTTCAAGAGCATAAACCATTGGTTTGAAGAGCATCTCATTGTGGTGGCCCATAATGACTTAGTGGCAGTGTTAGTTTCATCTCCTGTGAGCTTGTAAGGGGTCTCCCCTACATTCATGACAGGGACAAACCCAACAGCTTCCTTTAGAGAGAAAGCACTGCAAATTTAAGAAGAGGGGAAAAAGGGTGCCTCTCTATTTGTGGAACCCAGGAGTTTCAGGGAGTCAGTGACTAGTAGCAGGAGGCAAAAACAGAGATCCAGTGGTTCTGGCAAGGTAAATGGATTAGATTTTTCAAGTCTGACCTACCACAGGAATGACATGGTAAAAGATGAAGAATGAGAGTTGCTCCCAACCTGTTGTCTTTTACTATAATAAGGCTTGGGAACCCTGGTTAATAACATGTTAATAAGCGTATCCAGATTTTTCTAAGACACATGCTTTCCAGACATATTCAAGTGAACTGGTCCCCTCTCAAGGCATGGCTTTGGACATTTTTACTGAGGACTGGGCAAGTGTGGGTAGAAATACCAGCTGAGAACAAATAACTAAGAAGGCTGGAGTAAAAAGAGCCAATGAGGCAAAATTCTTACCTTACAGATTGCCTGTGAGAGAGAAAATACTAAGATTTCAATAGGAAATGTTTGTGTCTAATATACATGCAGTCAGACTGAATAACAATTAGAGAACCTACAACAAATAAAAGAAAAGGAAAATCTAAACTCGGCTATGATGGGGACATGTATATTCTGGTTTCCTTTCTTTAACCCTTTTAAAAATAATTTCACATCTATTTAATTCTAAAGTGGTAGCACCTAAAATTCTCATTCAAGGATCCAGGCCCATCACATCTGGCTCTGTTTCTACTCTAGGGAGCTTGCATCTGTTTGAGATGCAAAAGGTGGGAGAAATGGAAAAGTGAGGAGATGCAAGTAACAAAATGAGCATCTTTTTGTACAGTAAGTACTAGTCTTTGTCATCTGCCTAGCCATTGTCTGTATTAGAATCACCATCTCTGGAATTCTTAAGTGCAAATTAGGCAAAGACTTGGCTGGGATGGCTAAGACAGGGATGCTCCTGGTTGAGCAGGGCATTGAACTAGATGACCTCCTGAAGTCTCTTCCAGCCCCATTTATCTATGATTCTGTAATCTGCTCCTCCCCTATTTTTATTAAGCAGCAGAATGGTAGAATCTACTTCATCCAAAAAATTTCCATTCTTTCACAGAGTGGGCATCCGGTTCAGCTGAAGCCAACAGAATGCACGGAATAGGTGCATGAACTATAGGAGGTGATTAAGTAAGAGAAACTAAATAGAACTAAGGGAAGACTTTAAAAAAGATATGATTTAGAAGTATTTCAGAGATACAGTTTTGGGTTTGCCATAGAGTAAAAGGAAAAATCAAGAAAGATAAGATTATTATATATGTAAGTTAGGAAATTAAAAAGATTAGGATAATTTAACATTAGCCAGATGACTGACACTCTTTTTACATTATTCTATAAGGAATTTCTATATATTTCATAATACCAATAAGACAGGACAGTTATTGAAACAAAGACAGATAAATTAGATAGAGAATAATACGTAATTATAGTTTAAATTATTCTCCAGAACTTGCTGACCAGTTAGTGAAGGCAAACAACTAAGTAACATTAGGGGGAAAATACTTAATTTTTAGGCACATAAAATAGATATTTTAGGCATCAAGCTGAAGTTTGCTCCTGGGCCATGGCAACTGATATTGCTGTTAACATGCAAACTTCCCAAGCTATCTTGAAGCTGCAGCTCACAGGAAGCCTGAGTCAAAACTATCCTACCAGTTAAAACTATCCTACCAGCTGTTTCTAGTTTCGGATAAGGATGCTGTTGATGTTGTGTGCCTGAAAGTGGCAGCTCTTCAACTGAGCAGAGGGAAATTGTCAGATATCAAGAATACTGCAGTTTCATTGCCTGGAGGAAATGGTGAAGGCCAGGCCAAGAGCCAGAGATCCAGGGCTGCCCCTTGTCTCCCTGCTTTTAATATTTTTCTTAAATCATGCCCACTAATGTATGTGTAGCCGACCTGAGGTGGGAGTCTAAATGCATTGCACTTACCATCATTAGCAGGTTTTCAAGTCAGATGATACAGGGACATACAATCCACTTGAAAATTACATTTCTTACTGAGAGACAAGGTTCTTTAAGTAGATGTGACATCTTTTATTAGACTGACTAAATAGTTGGAAAAACTGTTCTTTGCAAGCTTGTGGGCATGAACACCCTTCTTCAGGCATAGGGAAAGTCTGTTGCTTTTTGTGTGCTTTCCTGGTTAGAATAGAAGCCAAAAGCCAAGGCTGCAATGGAACTCCAACTGGCTATTAGTATCAAGGATAATAAAAAAGTCCTTTTTTAGATATGTGGGGAGCCAGAGGAAAAGCAAGGGCAACATTGGACCCCTGCTAAACCAGTTAGGACAACTGATGACCAATGCCCAGGAAAAAGCCAACCTACTAAATGGGTATTTTGCATTGGTCTTTCACCAGTCCCGTGGGAAGTCCCTACCCATTATGGGACAAGGAGGACCAGGTGAGGGAGATTCCTTGCCCTCCATCAATGCTGACCTCATGAAGGAACACCTTGAGAGGCTGGACGCCTTCAAGTCAGCCAGCCCTGATAGTCTATACCCCAGGATACTCAAGGAGCTGGCTAGCATCATAGTTCAGCCCCTGGCATGGATCTTTGAAAACTCCTGGCGCTCTGGTGAAGTGCCCGAAGATTGGAAGAAGGCCAGTATGGTGCCTATCTTCAAGAGAGGGAGGAAAATGGATCCGGCAAACTACAGGCCCATCAGCCTGACCTCTGTCTTGGGGAAGGTTTTAGAAAAGATTATCAAAGAGGCCATTCTTAACAGATTGGCCGATGGCAACATCCTGAGGGATACCCAGCACGGGTTTGTTGTGGGTAGGTCTTGCTTGACCAATCTTATTTCCTTTTATGACCAGGTGACCTATCACCTGGACAAGGGAGAAGAGATTGATGTCGTATGTCTTGACTTTAAAAAAACCTTTGATCTGGTATCCCATGATCACCTCTTGGAAAAACTGGCTAACTATGGCCTTGGGTCCACCACGATCCGCTGGCTGGGGAATTGGCTCTGTGGTCAGACCGAGAGGATGGTGGTTGATGGAAGTCAATTGTTGTGGTGCGCTGTGACCAGTGGGGTCCCTCAAGGCTCTGTCCTTGGACCTATTTTGTTCAACATC